GCTAGGCTGGCCTCAGGATTCTTGCACCTCAGCCTCCTTAGTACTGGAATTACATAAAATCCTTTATACAACCAAACCTACTCATTCTGATTTCGATTAAAACTCTGGAGACCACTGCATTTTTTCTGCTCTCAGTTACTTGGAGAGCATGACCGTTCCTGTAAACTGCTGCTATTTACTGACATGGTGAGAATTCAGTTAAGAGTCTGAAATCACTAACCCACGAGACCAGACAAACTGTGGGGGCCGGCAAGATGGCTCAGCTAGCAAAGACGCTTGCTAGCAAACCTGACCGCCTGAGTTCAATCCCTGACCACACAGAGGAAAGACAGAACCAATTCTTCCAAGTAGGACTCTGACCTCCACACATACCTGTAGCACAAGTCCACACACACACACACACACACACACACACACACACACACACACACACACACACACGGGGGCGGAGGGTAAAATTAATTAACTCAGGATTCTAGCTCCTGTGTGATGGCTAATCTTAGCTGCCAACTTGATACACCTAAGAAGAGAGAACCTCAGTTGAGGAACTGCCTCCATTAGACTGGGCTGTGGACCTGTCTGCAGGACATTTTCTTTTTCTTTTGTTTTCTTTTATTTATTTCTTTTTTGGTTTTTCAAGACAGGGTTTCTCTGTGTAGCACTGGCTGTCCTGGAACTCGCTTTGTAGACCAGGCTGGCTTCAAACTCACAGAAATCCTCCTGCCTCTGCCTCCTAAGTGCTGGGATTAAAGGCTGCGCCACCACCACCCAGCTGGAACATTTTCTTGATTACTAACTAATATAAGTGGCCATCCCTAGGCAGGTGCACCTGGGCTGTATAAGGAAAGTGCAAACACAAGCCTGGGAGAAAACCAGCGTTCCTCCATCCTCCATCAGCGCCTACCTGACTCCCTCAGTGATGAACGGCGACTCGGAAGTGTAAGCCAAATAAACCCTTGTCTGCCCTTTTGGTTGTGTTTGGTCATGGTATTTTATCACGGCAACAGAAAAGCAAACTGGAACACCTTGCCTATCTTATTCCAGACTATTTTGTCCTCTGATGTGTAACTGTCTCACTCTACTCCAACCACAAAGGTCTCTTTGTTACTGATTCTCAATCAAATTCATTCCTGAGGCCTTTCCTTGATTCTCTGCCTAGAACACTTCATACTTGATACTTCAAATTTCAAAGAGAACAAACAGAAGGGAGCCATAGGAAAAGCAAAATGCAAACTCCCTGAAGAGGGTCAGAAACCCAGAGGCTGAGGAGACCAGCTTTCCCTACTCAGTAGTCTAAGGTAAAGTGCTTCTTCAGTCTCTGGCCAAAGTGGCTTTTTTGGCTATGCGGCAGCTTCTAGAAGGGCCTAAGCATTATGTATCTAGGTTCAGTTACAGAACTCCAGTATCTCGACATGCCATGTAAAATAGATAAGAATAAAATGAAAGGCTGAAGATACAGCTTACTACTTGCCCTGAGTTCAACATCTAGCACCCCAACTCCCCCCAAAAAAAACACTCAAGAGAATAAATATTCTAAAAAGATGCATCCAAGGCCTCTCAAATTTTTCTGCTAAGTGGATCCTAAAAAAATACTAAATATCATAGGGCAACATAAAAAGCACACAAGCCCTGATGCAAAATGTGAAGACATGCATCCTTTTATTTTTTAGAGACGGGGTTTCACAATGTAGCCCTGGCTAGCCTTCAATTCAGATCATCCTGCCTCTGCCTCCCGAGTGCTGGAATTAAAGATATATTTAAAATATATAGGAATTCTGATTTTTTTCATTTTATTTTGTGTGTGTGTGTGTGTGTGTGTGTGTGTGTGTGTGTGTGTGTGT